TATACCGGTTCCTGATTCAGTAATGTCATGATATATTATATTGTGCATTGTATAGAACCATGTTCAATGTGCATGCTTAAATATCTTTCGTAAATGTTTTCGTGAATTTAGATGATGACATTTTTCACTTCCTGATACATTTTGATTGTGGCTTGTTCGATTAGGTCACTTGGTCAGGCATCACCGTCTTTGAATGCATTCGCATCAGGGAAGGCTGCTGCATATAAAATGTTTGAGACCATCAGCCGAAATCCAACTATCGATCCCTACGATACAAGTGGAATTGTATTGCAAGATGTTAAAGGTGATGTCGAACTCAAAGACGTGTATTTCAGGTACCCTGCCAGACCAGACGTGCAGATCTTTGCTGAGTTCTCATTATATGTTCCAAGTGGCACAACCACTGCCTTGGTTGGGCAGAGTGGAAGCGGGAAGTCGACAGTGATCGGGCTAGTAGAAAGGTTTTATGATCCAGAAGCCGGTGAAGTACTTATAGATGGCGTGGACTTGAAGAAGTTGCAGCTTAAAGCGATAAGGGAGAAGATCGGGCTGGTTAGTCAGGAACCGAATCTCTTTACAACAACTATAAGGGAGAACATAAAATATGGGAAGGATGATGCAACTGATGAGGAGATTAGAAAAGCAACTGAGCTCGCAAATGCAGCAAAATTCATTGATAAGCTACCCCAGGTAAACCGACTTTTTATGCAGTTTTTCATAGTCTTATAAAGTTCTACTTTGACCTTTTTTTTTGGAGTTTGGTATCTGTAACATGAAATCCTGCTTACTTTACAGGGGATCGACACAATGGTAGGTGAGCATGGGACATCTCTATCTGGTGGACAAAAGCAGAGAATTGCAATTGCAAGAGCCATTCTGAAGAACCCGAGAATTCTTCTTCTTGATGAAGCAACAAGCGCTCTGGATGCTGAGTCCGAAAAGATTGTTCAAGATGCACTGGTGAACTTGATGTCAAATCGCACAACCATAGTTGTTGCGCATCGCTTAACAACTGTTAGGAATGCTGACTGCATTGCAGTGGTGCACAGAGGAAAAATTGTGGAAAAAGGTAATTACAATATGCGTGCCTGCACTATCATTCTCAATTTTCGACAAACTTGATCCTTAGACTAACGTTTCCATTGGATTGAGTATAGGGACTCATGATGAGTTGACCAGAGATCCGGAAGGGGCTTATAGCCAACTAATCCACCTGCAAGAAGGATCGAAAGTGGACAACGGAGCACAAACCTCTGATCCGAATAGAATGGATACCAGCTTAGATATAGATAGGACTATGCTCAGCTCTGGGAGCCGGAGATTATCAATGAGAAGGTCTATAAGCAGAGGCTCATCAGGTGGCCGGCACTCATTCACTGTTGGCTTTGGCATTCCTGGTCCAATTGATGTCCAAGAGAATGAAGTAGGACACGAGGACGATCATGACAGACCTAAGGTTGATTCCAAAAAGCGCAACACAGTTTCAATCCGAAGGCTGGCCGCCCTTAACAAACCCGAGGTTCCAGTTTTGCTTCTAGGAGCCATTGCTGCAGCAGGGCATGGAGTACTTTTCCCTATCTTTGGCTTACTACTCTCAAAAGCCATTGGAATGTTCTACGAACCGCCCAATGAGCTAAGGCACGATTCTAGAAAATGGGCATTAGTTTATGTAGGTTTAGGTTGTGCTGGTCTGTTGGTGGTTCCTGTGCAGAATTTCTTCTTTGGAGTTGCAGGTGGGAAATTGGTGGAGCGAATTCGTGCCTTGTCATTCCAGAAGGTTGTGCACCAGCAAGTCAGTTGGTTTGATGATCCTGCAAATTCAAGGTATGTTAAAAGAAATGGTAATTTTGGCGAGCTATGAACTCTCAATATTTCAACATAAATCTTGTGTTCTTTCAGCGGTGCCATTGGCGCAAGGTTATCTACGGATGCTTCAACCATTAAGAGTCTTGTTGGTGACGCCTTGGCGTTGATTGTGCAGAATATAGCAACAATCATGGCAGGGCTGGTTATAGGTTTCACAGCTAACTGGAAACTGATGCTGGTAGTTTTAGCCGTTTCGCCATTGATTCTTCTGCAAGGAACACTTCAGGCAAAATTTCTTAAAGGATTTAGTGCAGATGCCAAGGTGAGAGTCTTGCCCTAAGAGTTTTTATTTTGTCAAATAAAAAATTTGTTGAATGTAATTGTAACGTTTTGAATATCTGCAGATTATGTACGAAGAAGCCAGTCAAGTGGCAAACGATGCGATTGGTAGCATCCGAACGGTTGCATCATTTTGTTCTGAGAAGAAGGTGATGGAGGCATACGAGAAGAAGTGTGAGGGTCCGTTGAAGCAAGGAGTACGGTTAGGAGTAGTAAGTGGTTCAGGTTTTGGCTTTTCATTCTTCTTAATGTTCTGCACAAATGCGTTGATATTCTATATTGGAGCTATTCTTGTGAAACATGGTCAAGCTACATTTGAACAAGTATTCAAGGTGAGATTTTGCTGTTCTTGTTCCTTAAATTACTCCTTAACTTCTTCGACAAAGTGCTTCTACTCTAACTCTAACAAATCATTTTTTTCTCAGGTTTTCTTTGCTATAACAATCACTGCAATGGGGGTCTCACAAGCTACTAGCATGGCTCCTGACTCCAACAAAGCCAAGGACTCAGCAGCTTCGATATTTCGAATTCTCGACAGCAAGCCTAAGATTGACTCGAGCAGTGATGAAGGCATAGCGTTATCACTTTTAATTGGAGAAATTGAGCTTGATCATGTCAGCTTTAAGTATCCTACACGCCCGGATGTGCAGATATTCAGAGACATTTGTTTGAAGATGCCCTCCGGAAAGGTAATTACCACCACCAGTTTGTTGTGAGTCTGTCTGTTTTGTTTATTTGCATTTGAGTTATGGGAACTGGTTTCTGCAACACCGCTGTTTTGGCATTTGAATTTAATAAATCAAAGGAGAATCAAGGGGAAAAAGTAAACAGGGTGTGTGGAAATATTTTCCCTTGTGTTATATATATGCATACTTAGCTTAAAATTCCATCTGCAGACTGTTGCTTTGGTTGGAGAGAGTGGCAGCGGGAAGTCAACGGTAATAGGCCTCATAGAGAGATTTTACGATCCTGATTCAGGTCGCGTACTACTAGACGGAGTAGAAATCCAAAAGTTCAAGCTAAACTGGCTGAGGCAGCAGATAGGGTTGGTTGGTCAAGAACCAGTTCTCTTCAACGAATCCATTCGTGCCAACATTGCATACGGCAAGCCAGGAGATGTTACCGAGGAAGAGATCATAGCAGCGACAACAGCAGCTAACGTGCACAATGTCATATCTTCATTGCCTCAAGGCTACGACGCCTCAGTAGGTGAACGAGGGGTTCAGCTATCAGGAGGTCAGAAGCAAAGAATCGCCATTGCGAGGGCTATACTCAAGGACCCAAAAATCCTTCTACTTGATGAAGCTACAAGTGCACTGGATGCAGAGTCCGAACGCAAAGTGCAAGACGCATTGGACAGGGTTATGGTGAACAGAACAACAGTTGTAGTTGCGCACCGCCTTAGCACGATAAAAGGAGCAGACATAATTGCAGTGGTGAAGAATGGCGTGATTGCGGAGAAGGGAAGCCATGATTTCCTAATGAAGATCACTGACGGGGCTTATGCTTCTTTGGTGGCACTTCATTCCAGCTCAAACACATAAAAAGATAAAGAACTTAGACAATCCGAATCCGAGTATATGTTTGGTATTGCATCCGTAAGCCACACATTGCAGTGGATGGATGTGCGATTGCAGAAACTGTAAGCTAAAGATGTTTTGAGTTTGTGTTTTGACATGAGTTTAGTAATTAATTGCGTAATCATTGGTAAAATTTGAGCATTTTTCGCACTTGATTTTTTTAATATTTCTTCATTTTTTAGTGACGATAAGCAGCAACTCAACTGTCGAGAAAGATTTGCATTAGTAGAATTTGCATCTCAAATATGGGTCTGTCTTCAATGGATAATACCTATTGTTGAAAATAAATAAATAAAACATTTCATTTGAAAAAATAAATAAGTAAAATTAGTTCACTAAACTCAAATTTGGTTTGGTAACTTAATCAAACATCATCTCCATATAACTCATCTCTGGACCATTAATTTTAAATTTAGTTGATTCCAAATTATTTTAGGACTTTATCATCAGTCTCATAGATAATATCGCAACGAGTTCATAGCATTTTTGGAATATTTTTCTGGCATATAAAAAAAATTAAGAATTTTCGGAACGGATGGCCAGCTGCCAGAAGTGTTGCTATGGTTGGGAAATCATGGATTGTTTCTCAGCGTCTATGGAGGCTTGCTTTGCCCTGGTCATCGTTTTTGTTCTCATCTTTGCCATTCTTGGCACAGCTTATGGTTTCCTTGCGGCCGCCATGGACCATGGCTATCCAAAAATCGCTCATCCTTTGGCCTCAAATTTTGATGCGTATTCTCTCTCGAGCAAAACTCCCTCCATGCACGTCGGCTACGTGAAAGAAAATAACACTTACAGAGAATCCAAGTCCGGACAGGAATGTTGTCTCAACTGAGAGGACGAACGATGTTGTCAGTAGTCGGCATACTAGTAGCGATGCCACCCTAACAAGACGGATGTGGAAGCAGAGACGGATGATCAAGCGGCTCATCCGGCTAGACTGAAGGAGGCTGCTGGATGAAGAATGAATGAAGGTATAAATTTTCATGAGTTTGAAAAAGGAACACTAGATAATTTGAGTTGGTAGACTGCATTGTGAGTTGTTAATCTGAGCTGTGTTGTAGGGTTGTAAATCGTTTTGAAACAACTCGAACTTGCCTTTAAGTTTGGGTTGTATTTGGCTCGTCGAAATTCTGCTTGTGAAAGAAACAAACGAAGCTTCAAGCTTGAACATTGGTATGCTCAGTTCCCTCCTGTGGAGGCTCCCAACAAAGAGAAGCATGAGTACGTGAAGGCTTGTGTGAAGAAATTATATTGGAACCAAACATCACTACAAACAATCAGGAACACGAAATTATATTAGATAGGCAGCCAGTTAGGCTTAAATAACTTAACACCAAACCAACACTTAACCTTAAACACTCTTCAGTGGCATCCATTTAACGTGCCACATAGCGTGATTAAGTACTAAACTCATGTCCAAACACAAACTTAAACATCTTTAGCTTACAGTTTCTGCAGTCACACATCCATCCACTGCAATGTGTGTCTTAGGTATGTAATACCAAATATATACTCGGATTCTGGTTGTCTGAGTTCTTTATCTACTTATGTATTTGAGCTGGAATTAAGTGCCACCAAAGAAGCATAAGCCCCGTCAGTGATCTTCATTAGGAAATCATGGCTTCCCTTCTCCGCAATCACGCCATTCTTCACCACCGCGATTATGTCTGCTCCTTTTATCGTGCTAAGGCGGTGCGCAACTACAACTGTTGTTCTGTTCACCATAACCCTGTCCAATGCGTCTTGTACTTTGCGTTCGGACTCTGCATCCAGTGCACTTGTAGCTTCATCAAGTAGGAGGATTTTCGGGTCCTTGAGTATAGCCCTCGCAATGGCAATTCTTTGCTTCTGACCTCCTGACAGTTGAACCCCTCGTTCACCTACTGAGGTGTCGTAGCCTTGAGGCAATGAAGATATGACATTGTGCACGTTAGCTGCTGTGGTCGCTGCTATGATTTCTTCCTCGGTAACATCTCCTGGCTTGCCATATGCAATGTTGGCACGAATGGATTCGTTGAAGAGAACTGGTTCTTGACCAACCAACCCTATCTGCTGCCTCAGCCAGTTTAGCTTGAACTTTTGGATTTCTACTCCGTCTAGTAGTACGCGACCTGAATCAGGATCGTAGAATCTCTCTATGAGGCCTATTACCGTTGATTTCCCGCTGCCACTCTCTCCAACCAAAGCAACAGTCTGCGGATGGAATTTTAAGCTAAGTTTGCATATATATGACTGAAGGGAAGAGATTTCGGCACACCCTATTTACTTTTTTCCCTTGATTCTCCTTTGATTCATTAAATTCAAATGCCAAAACAGCGGTGTTGCAGAAACCAGTTCCCATAACTCAAATGCAAATAAACAAAACAGACAGACTCACTAGTGGTGGTAATTACCTTTCCGGAGGGCATCTTCAAACAAATGTCTCTGAATATCTGCACATCCGGGCGCATAGGATACTTAAAGCTGACATGCTCAAGCTCGATGTCTCCAATTAAATGTGATAATGTTACGCCTTCATTACTGCTCGAGTCAATCTTAGGTTTGCTGTCGAGAATTTGAAATATCGAAGCCGATGAGTCCTTGGCTTTGTTGGAGTCAGGGGCCATGCTAGTAGATTGTGAGACCCCCATTGCAGAGATTGTTACAGCGAAGAAAACCTGCAAAAAAAAAAAAAAAATGAATCATTAGAGTTAGAGCAGGAGCACTTGTCGAAGAAGCTAAGGAACTGTAGCAGCAAAAATATCACCTTGAATACTTGTTCAAATGTAGCTTGACCATGCTTCACAAGAATAGCTCCAACATAGAATACCAATGCATTTGTGCAGAACATTAAGAAGAACGAAAAGCCAAAACCCGAACCACTTACTACTCCTAACCGTACTCCTTGCTTCAACGGACCCTCACACTTCTTCTCGTATGCCTCTATCACCTTCTTCTCAGAACAAAAAGATGCAACCGTTCGGATGCTACCAATCGCATCGTTTGCCACTTGACTGGCTTCCTCATACATAAGCTGCAGATATTCAAAATGTTACAAGTACATTCAACAAATTTTTTATTTGACAAAATAAAAAAACTCTTGGGGCAAGACTCTCACCTTGGCATCTGCACTAAACCCTTTAAGAAATTTTGCCTGAAGTGTTCCTTGCAGAAGCATCAATGGCGAAACGGCTAAAACTACCAGCGTCAGTTTCCAGTTAGCTGTGAAACCTATAATCAGCCCTGCGATGATTGTTGCTATATTCTGCACAATCAACGCTAAGGCGTCACCAACAAGACTCTTAATGGTTGAAGCATCCGTAGATAACCTTGCACCAATCGCACCGCTGAAAGAACAAAATATTTCAGTTGAAATATTGAGAGTTCAAAGCTCGCGAAAATTACTTTTTCATTTAACATACCTTGAATTTGCAGGGTCATCAAACCAACTGACTTGCTGGTGCACAACCTTCTGGAATGACAAGGAACGAATTCGCTCCACTAATTTCCCACCTGCAACTCCAAAGAAGAAATTCTGCACAGGAATCACCAACAGAGCAGCGCAACCTAAACCTACATAAACTAACGCCCATTTTCTGGAATCATGCCTTAGCTCATTGGGCGGTTCGTAGAACATTCTAATGGCTTTCGAGAGTAGTAACGCAAAGATAGGGAAAATTACTCCATGCCCTGCTGCAGCAATGGCTCCTAGAAGCAAAACTGGAGCCTCAGGTTTGTTAAGTGCAGCCAGCCTTCGGATAGAAACTGTTTTGCGCTTTTCAGGATCAACTTTAGGTCTGTCATGATCATCCTCGTGTCCTACTTCACTCTCTTGGATATCAACTGGACCGGGAATGCCAAAGCCAATAGTAAATGAGTGCCGGTTACCTGATGAACCTCTGCTTATAGACCTCCTCATTGATAATCTCCGGCTCCCAGAGCTGAGCAAAGTCCTATCTGTATCTAGGCTGGTGTCCATTCTATTCGGATCAGAGGTTTGTGCTTCGTTGTCAACTTTTGATCCTTCTTGCAGGCGGATTAATTGGCTGTAAGCCCCTTCCGGATCTTTGGTCAACTCATTATGAGTCCCTATAACCAATCCAACGGAAAAGTTAACTTAAGGATCAAGTTTGTTGAAATTGAGAATGATAGATTGGCACGCGTATTGTACTCACCTTTTTCAACAATTTTGCCTCTGTGCACCACTGCTATGCAATCAGCATTCCTAATAGTTGTCAAGCGATGCGCAACAACTATGGTTGTGCGATTTGACATCAAGTTCACCAGTGCATCTTGAACAATCTTTTCGGACTCAGCATCCAGCGCGCTTGTTGCTTCATCAAGAAGAAGAATTCTCGGGTTCTTTAGAATGGCTCTTGCAATTGCAATTCTCTGCTTTTGCCCACCAGATAGAGATGTCCCGTGCTCACCTACCATTGTGTCGATCCCCTGGAAAGGAAAGCAGGATTTTATATTACAGTTACCAATCTCCAAAAAAAAGGGTCAAATAGAACTTTATAAGATCATGAAAAACTGCATAAAAAAGTCGGTTTACCTGGGGTAGCTTATCAATGAATTTTGCTGCATTTGCGAGCTCAGTTGCTCTTCTAATCTCCTCATCAGTTGCATCATCCTTCCCATATTTTATGTTCTCCCTTATGGTTGTTGTAAAGAGATTCGGTTCCTGACTAACCAGCCCAATCTTCTCTCTTATCGCTTTAAGCTGCAACTTCTTCAAGTCCACGCCATCTATAAGTACTTCACCGGCTTCTGGATCATAAAACCTTTCTACTAGCCCGATCACTGTCGACTTCCCACTTCCACTCTGCCCAACCAAAGCAGTGGTTGTGCCACTTGGAACATATAATGAGAACCCAACAAAGATCTTCACGTCTGGTCTGGCAGGGTACCTGAAATACACGTCTTTGAGTTCGACATCACCTTTAACATCTTGCAATACAATTCCACCTGCATCGTAGGGATCTATAGTTGGATTTCGGCTGATGGTCTCAAACATTTTATATGCAGCAGCTTTCCCTGATGCGAATGCATTCAACGATGGTGATGCCTGACCGAGTGACCTAATCAAACAAACCACAATGAAAATGTTTCAGAAAGTGAAAAATGTCATCATATATTCACGAAAACATTTACGAAAGATAGTTAAGCATGCACATTGAACATGGTTCTATAATATATCATGCCATTACCGAATCAGGAAAACCGGTCTATATACTTACATTCCGCCAGTCATGAGTGCAAATATAACATTGATAACTTGGCCTCCATTGTATCCATGTCTGATGATCATTTTGGATCCATACCATACCGCAAGCGCGTACGTGCAGAAGATGACGAGCATAAATATTCCGAGTCCAAGCCCTGTGACTAGCCCTTGTTGAACCATAGTATTGTAAGCAACTTTTAGCTTCTGGTTGTACTTTTCAATCGCTTGCTTCTCCCCAGTGAAAGATGCAACCTGAAACACATTTTTTATTTTTCAAACGCTAATTAATTAAGATATATAATGTAATTATTTATGAACTCTGAAGATTTGAATTAAAGAGGTTTAGCATCAAGGCCTTACTGTTCTAATGGAACCAACTGTTTGTTCTACTATATTGCCAGCTTCTGCATAAGCAGTCTGTCCGCGGGATGACATTCTCGCCATGATAGTAGCCATGGTTGCACCAGCAATGACAATGGCAGGAATGGTAGCCAGCAATACAATGGCTAGGCGCCACCCTTTGACAAAAGCAATCATAAAACCACCAAGAAAGGTAGAACAAAGTTGTATAAATTTCCCCACCTGCCACAAATTAACCAACCCCTCACTATAAATGCATATATGTCAAGTTGAAGACCAAATGAAACCACAAGTAAGAAGACTTCTTCACAAACAAACCCTTCAAAACTCCCTTTCATTGTCAGAAATACTTACAGCACCGATCTGAAAAGAAAAATTAACCCGCGGACTCAAGTATTATTATGCCATTGCACACCAGATGACGGGTCTTCTTTGCTATTTGAAGGGTTTTTTACTAACATTATAAGATGTCGAGGGGGACCAAACTAATTAAGTAAATTATAATTAACAAAAGGTTATAAAAAATGAACCCTTCAAAACTTCATTCTATACTGCTAACATTTTTCAGTTAGACAACATTGCCTTTTGTGACGTATAGAGACAAAGAACTTGCACAAGGAAGCAGCAGCTCGCGGCACAATCCATGCTCTATTTAGGTAGGCAGTTTGCCGTGCTAGTGTTTGTATGTGTTTGTGGATTGTTTTGATGAGATTTGAAAATGAAATCCTCAAGAAATTGATTAGCTCAGCGAGCTGAAATTACAGAGAACAATGGAGGAAGAAAAGTGGAGTACGTTGCTCCTTGGATTCGATCTGAATTCTGTTACACATCACTCTCTGCAACTAAGAGTGTTGGAAATTTATATTATAATGTTTATTGGATATTATTATTTAATTTCAAAATATTAAATAAAAAAAGTAATCTTGTTTATTCTCAATTGTTGTGTCTGATGCAAAGAATTGCATCATATTATTTGTATATGGGATGTGTAGTTTGATGAGTGGTGTAGGTTACATAGATGCAAAGTTGCATCTTTTCACCAAACAACACAATGGGTTCTATATAAACCCATGAAACCATTATCATTAAAGGTAGAGAAAATTAGAGTTAATTTTTATTCTTGAGAAATAGGATTTCCCCACTTTGTTTCACTCACTCATTGTTAGTTAAATTTTGAGTCGTGTCTTGAGAGTACGGAATATATTGGGTTCGCCAGAGTCCGAAGATTGAAGTTCTTTGACTTCGGATTATAGATTGTTGAATCCTGAGAGATAGACGCCTACCAAACTACCGCAGAAGGACTAATACTTTAACACTCCCTTCTAAACTTCTTCAAGATTTAACTCCAAGCAATCATCTGAGCATGTAAAATATATCCTTTGGGAAGGCATTTGTGAAAATATCATACAATTGCTCAGACTTGCAAAGTTCACCCTTAACAACTGATGCAGAATTGCAAGCAAAGAACATATTTGTTTCTTCTCTAAGTTCTTTGGCATAGTGTATTTACTGCACTATCTTACTTCTGTAGTCCTTGGCAATGTGACCAAATTAATCACACTTATGATATTTTGGTTTTCCTTTGAACCAACACTCACTAAAATGCAAATTGCCGCAAGTCCTGCAACTCTCTTTCGAATTTTCCCTATTTCTATTATACTTCACAACTGCATTAGGCTTCTCATTAGGTTTTACATATCCTCTTTTCTCCTTGTTCTTCCCAAGCTTCTTGCCCTTGAAATCACCAACCTATGAGCTACTATTTGATTGAATACGAAGACTAGCGAAGGCCCTCTCATTCACATCTCCATCTTCAGCATGTCTCAACAATCTTTGTTCAAAACCCCTGAAAGTTGATACAACCTCAGTCGGATCTACCTTACTAATTTTCATAATTACCTCAATCACAAATACCATATTATCACATGTTGGGATAAGACTTACCAATGAGTTCTCTACAATCCTCTTATTAGACACTTCACCATACATTTTCATTTAGTTAGTCAATCCAAACAGCCTAGTCAAATAATCAGACAATGCTTCACCATTTCTCATTCAAATAATCAGACAATGCTTCACCATTTCTCATTCTAGCATATTCAAAAGCATGACGAATACCTTGAAATTTCACAGCCTTCTGTGAATCACCCTTGTACTCTTGCTTCAAGACATTCTATGCCTCCTTTGTTGTTTCTTGATTTGCAATTAGAGGGAGAATCTCATCGCACACAGCTCCATGAATCAATCACAATCCCCTTGCATCTCTTGCAATGAGGTCATTTCTTTCTTCGATTCAGTTGAGGTTCTTCATTGAAGACCCATAAAACTAAATCACAGATTCACACTCCTTGATTCAAGTCGAACATGGCTCTAATACCATGTTAGTGTTGAAATTTTTTAGATCGACGAGCCCGGGAGGGCCTCCCACTCTAACGACACCGATATTGTCCCCAGCTTTACCACATGCCCAATCCGTCAGGTGTGGGGCTTTACCACAAAAAGCCTTGATATTAGTTAGAGTGAGATAATCCTATTTAAAGTCATTGCTTTTCTTTACCCCCACCGATGTGGGACTGTTAACACGCCCCTTCATGTGAAACCCAATTTAGTGGTTCACACGTGGAGATTCATACATCGGCAATTAAAACTCAGAGGTCGACTTCAATGGAGTCCAGACTTGTTTTCAATCTTTTCAGGAAATGACTCTTAAAAACTCAAAGGTCAACTCTATGTTAAGAGTCCAAACTTGTTACCAAGCCCACACTTCCTGATGACAAGCCTTTGGCTTGCATGGGCCCGTAACTGTAGGCTCTGATACTATGTTGAAATTTTTTAGATCGACGGGCTCAGGGTGCCCCACCCTAACGACATCGATATTGTCCCCAACTTTACCACCTGCTCAATCTGTCAGATGTGAGGTTTTACCACAACATGCCTCAGTATTAGTTAGAGTGGGATAATCCTATTTAAAGTCGTTGCTTTTCTTTACCCCCACCGTTGCAATTCCCTCAATCGAACTCATGTTGCAACTAAGGGAAGATAGCCGTTGCAATTCCATGACATTTGCAGCATGAGTTCGATCACGTGCACAACACATAATCACTTAAACACTCACAGCTACTATGACAACTGACACAACACACACTCTTAAAATGTTATAATCCTAATCATCTATTACATAACAAGAACAACATGAATTAAAACCCAGAAATGAAGGACTTCAAAGGATAAAATCTGCAACAAGACTTAGTTGGAGGGCAAATTTAAGGACCTTTGCCCAACTGTCTTGAATTAAAAGTTAAATATTAATCAGGTGCCTTTAATCGGTTAAGAGTTGTCTTAGATCAATGAATGAGAAGGAAGAGAGTGAATAGGGCACAGGAAATGAAGTCATCCAGTTAAGTAGCTAGATTAATTAGCAGTTAACCAAAAAACAAAGTAGCTTAATTAGTAAGTTAATTACCTTTTCCCCCATGGCTTCTTGAATAAGAATGGTGTCCCCAGACATCCTGCCAATGATCTCTCCAGTGCTAGTTTCAGTGTCAAAGAAGCCAATGTCCTGCCTTAGGATTGCCTTCATGTACTTGCCTCTAATTCTAGCAGCCTGCCTTTCTCCTGTCACCATCCAACATGCCACCTCTGCAAATTCACACAAACAATTTAATCAACCTACTGGTGTAATTAATCAAAGAATTAAACCCGATTAACAAAAAAAATTGGGGAAGAAAAATAGAAAAAAAAATTAGGATTATTGAGACTTACGTAGAAGTGCTGCAGCTCCAGTGCCAATGGCCAAGTACACAAATTTTAGAGACACCTGCAACAACAACAAAAAAAATAAATAAATAAATAAATAAATAAAATCGAGAAAAAATCACTTGGAACATGAGAAGTAACCTAGAAAAAGTGGTTTTGTTTGATACCGTATTCACATTTTTTGGTCGCCGTGATTTTTGGCTTAATGTGATTGAAAGAAATATAGATTTTCCTTTTTATGGAAAAAGATAAAACAATAGGGCTCTTTTCAACTTTCAAGAAACGCAAAGAAAGCTGTACACTTTTTGAATTCTAAAGATTTTCAGTGTTTCGAGAAATAAATATAATCTTTACCAAAAAAAGAGAATAAATATATTATCTTTACCAAAAAACAAAAAAAAGAGAAATAAACGTGCATGTGTCTATTCCAATCATAGAACCCAGAAAACTCAGAAACCCAAAATCTCGTTGTATTCGGAAGAATGGAGGAAAAAAACCCAGAAAACCAAGCATCTTGATGTTCTTGTAACCAAGAATACGAATGCATGTATGTATATACAGGTATATATATACCTTAGAGATCAAGGGAACGATGTGACCAGGATCGGTGGAACCAAAGGTGTTGATAAGATTACCAAACACAAGAGTCATGAGTGGCTGCGACAGACCATTCCCCACCGCAGATATCGTTCCAACGATCATCAACGCAATGTCCAAACGGTCTGCAAACGCAAAGAGTTTATAGAAGGCCACTTTCTGCTTTTCTTGATCTGCTTTCGCTTGTGACCCGCTATTATTATTAACTTCTGCTTTTCCATCTCCTCCTCCGCTTCCTCCTTCCATGGCAGTTGCCCTAATTCGAAGAAGATGATCTCTCTCTCTCTCTATATATATATCTCTCTAGAAGATGATCGGTCTCCTTCGTTGTTGTTTGATGAGGAGAATTGTGTAGGAGGACAAAGTGAGATATCAACTTTTTGTGTGCCCTATGTGCTTTATGGTGTGGTGGTGTGAGGTGGAAAAGGAAAAAGAGTGTACAACTAGGACAACTAGTTAGTTAGGCTAGAGATTTTTCAGTGCGCCCCTAATACATATTATTCAAATATATTTCCACTTAAATAATAATAGGTAATTTAATCAGTCATGTTTCGATCAAACTGAAAAATTTGTCATTAGTCAAAAGATGATTTGGTGTTTGGATGCAACATATACATCAGAGTCCTACTAATCAGCTGCTACATTGATTTTTATCGCTTCCTCACTCTAAGGCTCCTTTTTCTCCTTTCCTCTCTTTTTTTTTTCGAAATTTCTCCTTTCCTCTCTCAATTTAGTTTAATTGTAATCCAATTTAACAAGAATTATTATTGTTAACCAAAAAAAAAGTTATTATTTGTTGACAAACAATATTATAAGTTAATTAAATTATCAAAAATTAGGAATCTGAAAAATCGGTAAAAATTAAACTTAGCACCAACGTGCATCTTCAATTTTTCAAATTTTTGTTTAAATAAAACAACTCAAAAAGCACGTTTACGAGAAAAACCGAATTCGACAATTGGATTCGTATGAATGACCTTTAAACTGTTGAGATTTGTGAAGGAAGAAAGGGACAGACCGACCGACCGCATGCAAAAGCAACAACAATTACATCGTTTGAATAAAGAAATCAGCATGAGAGTTTCTTCTTCAATCGAAACATTGAAGCAGCAACTTGAGGTACAAAATTCTGCCAATTAGCAAGTTAGTGTCAATTGATATCTATATAGTTTTACAAAAGTAACTAATAATATGTTTATTCTTTTGATATGCCACATATTGAATAGGAACTAAGGAAAGTATATCACATACGTAATTTTTTTTATTTATTTAAATGGTACTAAACTAGGTGAATGATGAATCTCATTACTTCTGTCACCATATCTTATCCGAACTAAGGAGCATTTGAACGTATGTTTTATTATTTTAATATGCTCATTATGCCCCTAATCATCTCTTACGTGTTTTTTCTCATTCAATTCTAGTTAACTTTCATACTAAATGTTACTTTTATAATTTTGAGAAAAAATTTAACCAATATTGAGTGAAATAATACGTGATAGATAATTAGGTGTATGATTATCATACATTATAATTTATGATTATGAGCAAAAATACTTCATCCGAACTATGCAGCTAATCCATGTATACTGTAACGTCATCTTCTACGCAGACCATTTGCTTACAGAAGTCTAGAAAATTATCTTGGTAGATTTGCCATTATTGCTTCTTAAATTCACAATCACAAGCACCAGGATGCACTCTTTTCTAGAAGAGCTTCACATTTCAGTTTTTCACTTTGTAGTGAACAAAAAATGCCAACAGGATCTCTAGATCCTTTCGGTAAGTATTTTAGAGATTCGTAAATTATGTATGTTCATCGTACATTATGCGATCAGTTTTTTATCAGACATTATTTGTATTTAATTTTAAATAAAAATATTTAAAATGATTTCTAATCGTACGATGTACGATAAACGGATATGATTTATGGATCTCCGAGATCCTCATAAAAAGGATCCTGTGAGAATCCGGATTCCAAAAAATGCACAGTTGAATGATAGTTTAGAATTTATTTTCTCCTTTAAGTATGATGTTACCGTTTATTTTATATAGTACTGAGCAGTACGTATTAGTATTATTATGGGCAGAGCTAGAAATTTTTCACCGGGTAAGCTAGTTTAAAGTTTAAATCTTTATGAACAAAGAAATTGATAATGTATTTTTCACAGTATCAATTAGCTTATGAAAAGCTTGACAAGGTGATCCAAGAATTTTTTTTGTTATTAAACATGTGTTAAAAGTCAAACAAATCCCAATTTTAAATATATATATATATATGTGTACAAGAAGCCACAAGAAAAATGATATAAGAAAAAGAGATTGTTTGTAAGTTGTATTATATAATTTTATGTAATTAAACTAAGAGAATTAGGATTAATGCCTAAATATATGATGGGTTACCTTCGGAAATCAAAAAAATTACATGTAAAACTTTGTTTTTCACCGAAAGCTACTTGGACTATAGCCCATGGTAGCCTTTAGGCTGACTACACCTGTGAGTTTTACTTGATAGTTCGGTTTTATATTCATTAAGTTGGCAAATAAGTAAAAATACTATTTTTTTTCAATTCAATCATGACTTTTTATTTTTAATACTACTAAGTAATCTGAACTATTTAAAAAGAAATTATGGTTTTACAGTGAAGGTCATGGCTACAAAGTATAAGGAGAAGAGGAGAGACGTTGGGGTATTTGATTATGGCGTGGGGTAGATTGATCTCATCCTTTCTCGTCGGTTGGCTGTTTCATTCAAATTTTTTTTTTTTAAATATAGAAAATTTAGAGCTTACATTTATTATAAATAAAATATTAATAATTATTTTATTATTTATTTATTTTGCACTTTATTTTGAGAAGTTTTCAGCTCAAGACACGAATTGTAACATCATATGTTATTATATAAATTAAGGAAATTTTTATTTTTCAAGTATCACACTATTTGTATAATGACACGTAATGTACAATCTCGTATTCCGTGGACACCAAAAAAATCTCCTAAGTCTTGCATTTGAGTTAGATTCTTCAGACAATTGCAGGCTTTGGTGACCATTTGGTGACCATGCACACGGTTTCACCTCTTCATTGCCTCAAGGCTATATGACACCCCTGTCAGGGAACGGAGGGGTGCAGTTACCGGGAGGGCAGAAGCAACGAGTAACCATTGTCGTTGCTCATCGTCTTACCACCATAAAAAACACCGACGCAATTGCAGTGGTGAAGAATGGCGTGGCGGCCGCGAAGGGAAGCCACGAATTTCTCATGAAGATCGGCGATGGTGCTTGTGCATCTTTTGTGGCACTTCACACAAGTTCAATGTGAGAAGGAAGATAAAGATTGCTCAAGTCTTTCTTGTTTTAATTGGCTACTAGCAGAGAGCACAGAATAGGTATATGATTGTCATATTCTTAAAAAATGAGGGTAAAATAAGAAAAATAAGGATATGATTATCATTTTGTCAAAAGGTACAAAATTAAAGCATCCTTAACCACCCACCTCCTCTCACGTTCTCCTCAAGCGCAACCGCTTCAGGTCATTCAAACTATCCAAAAAACATCATGATTTCACTTACATGTGTGAAAAAATGATGATGGGACAATTTTTCTTAATAAGTGCATATTTTTTATCTTATATAAATATTTCGATACAAAATTACTATTTTGCCCTTTACATCAAAAGTGAGGGCAAAATAGGAAAAAAGAAGAAAATTTCAAAAGATACAAAATTACTATTTTGCCCCCTTATGTCAACATTGTATATTCAAAAGTGAGGGCAAAATTGAAAGAAAAGGGGGCAAAAAGTTGACGAGCCCTCTTCTCTTAATAGAATAGAATAGATAATTTGTCTCCTTTTTGGCAGTATCAGTTGAAATTTGTTAAACTGATGACCATTTTTTTACAAACAACGCGAATCATCAAATTACATAATCATGTAGCATTCACGAAAATGCATTGTCTGGAAAATTTGTAAGAAACAATATGCACACGCATGTCCCGACTACATCATGGGACAAGGCCAAACGAGCGCACGAGAAAACCAAACATCATGACCAGACAATCTTTTGTTATTTTGTACATGATGAGAGTCGTAAAGAGGAAACTAACTACCAGGTGTTGGGGAGGGCTCAGTAATCTTCACCCCCGAGATCGCTGGATGGAATCCGCTGGCGTTTCTCCACGTAGGCTGTCGGAAACCATCCTCCTTTTCCCTTGCACTCTCCTTCCGACCATCCTGATGGACTCACCTGGATAAAAAGTTTTCCAGATCAGCAAACAAGAGAATGTTAGGCACGTTAATTCAAAAAAGGAAAGAAAAAAAAAACTTAAGATTTGGCAAGTTTCATCCAGAGCATCCCAACAAATCATGGCCTAGTTTTCGTTTATGGTTGACGAACAATAAAGGCTGGTCTCGAGGAGATTACCTTTCGCACAACAACATAGTCACCGACTGACAAGCTTAGCTCCTTCTCTGATGCAGCACTGAAAGAATGTGTTGCCTGAAAGAGTAAAAACATTAGAAGTTCAGATTCTTAGACGTACTTAAAATATGATACGTCGTAGAGCCAGTTCAAGAATGGGTGAAACAGGCACGAAACTGGATATTGAAGGCCCACGGTCCTAAGGAATAGAAAAACGAAGAACACTTATTTCATCTTTTAGTATCTTAAGTTTAACTTATCTGTTAATTCCTCTCTCCCTTCTTTCTATACAACCTATATTGTTAACCTTCTCTGCAACTATATGACCCCTGCATTGTGCAGCCTATCTTATATTCTCGTGTTAATCTTTGTATAAAGGGTAAATAAAGTTTCTTTTAATACTTTAAGTTTGATTGAGCAATCAGAAATACAGCATCCAGGATAAGAAAAGTAACGTACTTCAGCCAAGAAGTACATTGTTTTCTCTGAGCCGTTCTCTTGTGGAATCACAGGAGGAGCAGACTCTTTCCGCTGTTTCTCTGAGACCAACTGCCACAAAATCCAGGCCATGACATCAGTTCATATAGTTAAATCGGAAATGCTTTCCTTTTAAAGACAATCGTAAGTGGAACTGACCTCCGCTTCAACCTCACCAAGTATGGCAGCCACTCTCAGATGATAATTCTTTTCTCCTTCAACCTTAACAGTGCTAAGGTTAATACGTGTATAACTGAAGAATCACTATAATCTTCAACATAAAAACTAATACTCGGAAAATCATGTGCATTCTTACCAGTGCAACAAGCCTCTGGAAAGTTAGTCTTTGCTGCTGTGCTTCCACAGCAGCCAATGCAGCTGAAGCTTCTATACCCAGAACTGCCATGTTTGCTTTCAATTCTTTCATCTTTGCTTCCGCTGCCTGCAGCTTTGCAACGTTATCAGGATTTGGAAGTTCTCTTACTCGTGCTTGTCTTCTGGACACTTCTACCGCCTGTTGTTTTCTTAAGGTCACTAATATGTTGGCAAAAGGCAAATATTATCA